TGGTTTGGGGGATATTTTGAAAAAAAACCAAAAAATTTTGAAAATTAAAAATTTTTTTTAAAAATTTTTTTTCTTTTTAAAAATTTTTTTAAAAAAACTTTAAAATAATTTTAAATAATTTTGGGGGTTCCCCCATTTAACCCCCCCCGGGTTAAATCTTTTTTTTTGGTTTCCCCTTTTTTGAAAAAATTTTTAAAAATTTTTTTTTTTTTAAAATTTTTTCTTTTAAAAAGTATTTTTTTTTTTCTTGACCCTACCACTTCTTCCCCTTTGTTTTTCCCTTTAAAAATTTATCCCATTTTTAACCCTTTCAGGGAAACCTGTAAAAAGGGGTTTTTTTAAAAGGAATTTCGAAATTTTTTCCCGAATTTAATTTTCCCTTTAAAGGGGTTTCCCTTTCCAATTTTTAGAAAATTTGATTGGGGAAAATTTTTTTTCGAAAATTTTTAAAATTAAAAATTTTAAAAAATTAAATTTTAAAAATTTTTTAAAAAAACTTTTTAAAATTTTTATTTTAAAAAATTTTTTAAAATTAAAAAAATTTTTATTTATTTTTTTATAAAAATTTAATTTTTAAAAAATTTTTAAAATTTTTTAAAATTAAAAAAATTTTAAAAAAAACAAAAAAAATTTGGGAAAAAAAAAAAAAATTTTTAAAAAAAAAAATCCCCAAAAACCCCTTTTAAAAAAAAATTTAAAAAAAAATTTTAAATCAATTTAAAAAAAAAACCCTGGGGGTTTTTTAAATTTCCTTTTTTTTTTAAAAATTTAAAATTGGAAAAATTTTTAAAAAAAAAAAAAATTTTTTAAAAATTTAAAAATTTTTTTTGGGGGTTTTTTTAAAAAAAATCCCAAAAAAAACCCCAAAAAAAAGGGGTTTTTTTTAATTTTTATCCAAAAAAAAAAATTTTTTTGGGGGATTTTTTATAATTTATATTATATTTTTTTTAAAAAATTATTTTTTTATTTGTTTGGGGTTTAAAATTTAAAAAACTTTTTGTTAAACTAACCCCCAATTTTTTCAGGGTACTTTTTTTTAAAATTTAAAAAAGGTCTATTTTTTTTTTTTTTTAAAATTTTTTTTTTTTGTTTTTTTTTAAACCGGGCCCCCAAAAATTTTCGGGAAAAAAAAATTTGGTTGAACCCTTTTTTGAAACACCAAAAAAAACCCCCTTCCCAATTTGAATTTTTTTCCCAAAAAAAAGGAAAAAATTTTTTTTTGTTTTTTTTTAAAAAAAAATTTTTTTTTTAAAAAAATTTTTTTTTTTGGGGTTTTTTCCCTTTTTTTTTCTTTCAAACCCAACCCAAAAACAAAAAAATTTAAAAAAAAGTTAATACTTTTCCCTTTTTTTTTTTTTTTTTTTTTTTTTAAATTAAAATTTTAATTTTTAAAATTCAATTGGGGTAACAAAATTTTTTTTTTTTCTTTTTTAGCAAAAAAAAAAAATTTTTTTTGGGGGAAAATTTTTTCCTTTTTTTTTTCCCCCCTTTTTTAAAAAAAAAATTGTAAAAAAAAAATTTTTTAAAAATTTAAAAAAATAAAAAATTTTAAAAAAAAAAAAAAGTGGGAAAAATTTTTAGGTTTTTTTATTTTTTTTTTCCCCCCTTTTTTAAAAAGTTTTAAAAAAAAAATATTAAAAAATGGGGGTTTTTGAAATTTTAAAAAAAAAAATTTTTTTTGGGAAAATTTTTTTTTTTTTTTCCCTTTTTTTGTTTGGGGTTTCAATTTTTTTTTTTTGCAATTTTTTTTGGGGTTTGTCCTTTCCCTTTTGGAAGATTTCAGATCCTTTTTTTTCTGTTTGAAGCCCTCTCTTTTTTGTTTTTTTCCAAAATTTTTTAAAAAAAAAAGGTACTTGTTTTTTTGTTTCTTTTTCTTTTTTTTTGTGGGGGAGTTTCCAGTTTTAAAACAAATTTTTTTTTTAAAAATAAAAAAAAAAAAATAGTTTAAATTATAGAAAAGAAAGTTAAATATACTTTTCTGTCATCACTCTCTCTCTTTTTTCTTTCTCTCCCCCTTTTTTAAACTTTCAAGAAATCCCCTTGGGGAATTGAACAATATCAGGGAGGTGTCACAGAATAAAGATGAACAGAAAGTTTGTTTATTTTTTGTTAATTTAGACATGATGACGCCTTTTTTTTAAGGGGGGTTTATTAATTAGTTTCGTAAAAGTTTTTTTTACCTGTTCTTACTTTTCTAAAGTATTCAAAAAAAACAAACATCCTCGTTTATAATCAGAAAAAGGATTAAAAGGTCCATTCCATCCATAAAATTTAAAAAATAAAAAAAAAAACAGCCCCAAAGGGAAAGGGAAAAGATGAGGGAAAAAAATATATGGGGAAACGAAATTTCCCCCAAATATCTGGTTTGTCCACTATCGTTTTTATTGAAATTCCAAACAGAGACCCATTTTGTAAATGGTAGTAAGGAGATTTTGGGGGATTCCCCCCATCAGGGGGTTGATTTCGGGTTTTTACACTTTTTTTTGTTTTTTGCGTCTTCTTCATCTGTGAGGGTTTTCCAAATTCATTCTCATAGGAGGACTGATTTACTAAATTCAGTACTCTTTTTTTTGTTTCTGTTGTTTTAAATTCTTCTTCATCGGGGAGATTGTCCAGATTCACTGCCATATAAGGACTGATATTCTAAAATTCAGTACTCTTTTCTTTGTTTCTTTTTTGTTTTTCTTTTCCCGTAGGAGATTGTCCAGTATTCACTGCCGGAAGCTGATTTTCTAACAATTCGCTTTTCTTTGTTTTTGTTGTTTAAAATTTTTCTTTATCTGTGGGAGATTGTCCAGCATTCCCCGCCATATGGGAATGATATTAGTAACAGTTCTTTTTCTTTTTTTTTTTCCAAAATCTTTTTTCATCTGTGGGAAATTGTCCCGTTTTACTGCCATATAAAAGGACCACAACATCTTGTCAGCTATTTCTTTTTCCTTTATCGCTTCCCCTCTTCCCAAGACGTAATAGTATAGAAAAGGCATTTTCTCTCCATCCATCTGCGAACATCTTTAATGCTCACCACGACACATTCTAAACGTACTGATTTTGCCGGTATACAGGCATTAATTTTTCTACTGACCAATCTACCTCACCCAACTCGTGGACTGTCCTACTCGTTTTCCTAGCCAAACCGAGCAATAGGCTCTTGCTACTGGATTATTTCCTTTATCGCTTCCCCTCTTCCCAAGACTGTAGTATATTAGACGTAATAGCTATTAGACGTAATTGGGACTCATTTCGAATTTTTTTTTTAGTGACGCCCTTTGGACTGACACCTTCAACTTCCCAACTGAAAATTGCGTTACTGAGGGTTCTTCCTGGGTCAAAGCCGGCATGGACATTTCCATCCCTTCTCGGAAATACCAGTTGAAATCACAATACTCTCCATGATTCACACCAGCATCCTCGGCCGCCATAGCACACAAGAACCACTAATTCCGGCTATACCAGCGTGACAGCTCTCATCACAACAGGGACTTATTTCCTTTATCGTTTCCCCTCTTCCCAAGACTGTAGTATATTACACGCAATAGCTGACAGTATAGAAAAGGCATTCTCTCTCCATCCATTTGCGAACATCTTCGTCTTTGGTAACTTTAACGCTCACCACGACACGTGGCTGAAACATTCTAAACGCACTGATTTTGCCTGTGTACAGACATTAAATATTTCTATTGACCAATCCCTCGCCCAAATCATGGACTGCCCTACTCGTTTCCCTAGCCAAACCGAGCAATAGGCATCACTACTGGATCTATTTCTTAACCCCTTACTTGCCGAGCTTAGCAATACTGCCCTTTAGTTAACTCTGACTACTCTTTGGTAGCTATTGATATCTCCTTGCAAGCATCCATTAAAGAGGAACTATTTCCGGCTATACCAGAGTGACAACTCTTATCACAACAGGGACTTATTTCCTTTATAGCTTCCTCTCTTCCCAAGAGACGTAATAGCTGACCGTATAGAAAAGGCATTTTCTCTCCAGTCATTTGTGAACATCTTTGTCTTTAGTAACTTTAATGCTCGCCACGACACGTGGCTGAAATATTCTAAAGGTTTCTTCTTGGTTCAAAGCCGGCATGGATACTTTCATCCCTTCTCGAAAATACCAGTTAAAAACGCAATTCTCTCCATGATGCTCGACCGCCGTAGCACACAAGAACCACTATTTCCGGCTATACCAGCATGACAACTCTCGTCACAACAGGGTCTTTTTTGCTACTGCCCGCAACAAATATAAGAGGGTCCTCGAAGAAGCTAAATCCCTGTTTGCTGAGAGAATGAGGCACCCTCTAAAATCTTTGACTCTCATGTTTACTGACGGCTCTGTAATAGGATAATAAATAAATGAAAGGTCTTTATTCCACCCCTTTTTAATCGATTTCAGCTGAATGCTTTGCCCTTAATGTCTCCTCAAACTTTGCTCTTGACTCATCTGAAGTATCCCTGCCTAACTTCCCACTTTGAACTGAGTCTCTGTTGATTGATATGCATATAATTCATTCCATGGTTTCTGCTATCATCTCTTACCAAGATCCCCACAAAGCATGTGGACCTGATGGTATCCTTGTAATAGTCATTAGGAAGTGTGTTCCTGAACTGGCTCCTGTTCTCTCTAAACTGTATAATAAATGTCTCGTTGCCTCCTGCTTTCCTGCCTGCTGGAAGTCATCGTCTGTTGTTCCAGAAGTCTGGTAAACAGTCCGACCCATCCAACTACCGGCCTTTCTACATCTTTTTAGAAGCTCTAGAAGCTATAATCAATGCTGAATTGGTTCATCATCTCTCATCACAAGGCATTTTCTCAGACAAGAAATACAGCTTTCGTTTCGAGGAGGAGGTGGAGGAGGAGGAGAGTAAATTATTATCGCCAGGAGTATAAGTAATTACTGACGCAGAAGTATAACAAAGATGGAATAAAGAAATTCAAGAAGAGAAAACTGGGGGTGGGGATAAGGAGGGGGGTAAGGGGGGGTAAGGGGGGGGTAAGGGAATTAGATATAATAAAGAAAAGTCGCAAAAAGAAAAAGGGAAAAAAAAATGAATGAATGAATGAAATATATAAGCCAGAAAGAGAGATAAAGAGAAAGTACATACAATAGAAGATAAAAAGAGCAAGGAGAGAAGAGCAACAATGCATCAAGATAAGAAAGAAGAAAGTTAAAATCGACAATAAGAAAGAGAGAGAGAAAGAGAGAAAGAAAGAAAGAAAGAAAGAAAGAGAAAGAAAGAAAGAAAGAAAGAGAGAAAGAAAGAAAGAGAGAAAGAAAGAAAGAAAGAAAGAGAGAAAGAAAGAGAGAAAGAAAGAAAGAAAGAGAGAAAGAAAGAAAGAGAGAAAGAAAGAAAGAAAGAAAGAAAGAAAGAGAGAAAGAAAGAGAGAAAGAAAGAAAGAAAGAAAGAGAGAGAAAGAAAGAAAGAAAGAAAGAGAGAAAGAGAGAAAGAAAGAAAGAAAGAGAGAAAGAAAGAAAGAAAGAAAGAGAGAAAGAAAGAAAGAAAGAAAGAAAGAGAGAAAGAAAGAAAGAAAGAAAGAAAAGATTTAGACAGACAGAAAGTAAAAAAAGAAAAAAGAAGAAAAATGAAAGAAAGAAAACAGGAAGAACGATGGCAAAACAGAAAAGAGAGGAAATATAAGCATCTACCACTCGCCCATTCTTAGAATATTGCTGCTTACATATGGTCCGGTGCCCCTGCTGTTTATCTGAAACTTCTTGATAAGATCCAAAGAAGAATTAGCCATATTATTAGTCCTGGTCCTGAGGCTCTGCTTTATTCACTTTCCCACCGCCATAATTTTGTCTCTATGTGTCTCTTCTATAAATACTTTTATGGTAATTGTTTGGATGAGAACTTCGCTATGTTACTTAGACTGTATAGATTTAAGCGTAATACTAGTGTATCATCCTGTGTCGCATATTTCGTTCTTTGTTAAAACACTTCTCAGATATTTCAATTTTCATACTTGCTTGATTTTGAAATCTCTGATTCGTAGATAAAGTGTTTTTTTTTTCCCAACTGATAGTTAGTCCGTTCTTCTCGCTTTCTTTTATTGCCTCATGTACGACACCCTTCAGTTTCCTTTATGGGTGTGCGATCAACATTGTGTCATCTGTTCATCTTATGCTGTTAAGATTGTGTCCGCCAATAATAAATCCAGGCAAGACTTCTGGTTCTCTAAGGATCACCCCCCCCGGTTGAATAAGTCTTGTCTTAACACCGCTTTCTTTTTTTGAGTCTTCACTGATTTCACTTTCTGTCTGTATACAGGCGGCTTGCTCCCAGTATTGGTTCTGTATAAATCTTTTCTTCTTTTGTCGTATCTCTTCAGAAGATAGGCGATCATGGCCCTCCACATCTTCCTGTCCTTTGTAATTCTTAATAAGTTTCGTCTTTTTGTTATTTCTCCCAAACCCTGTTCCGCTGTCCATTTGCTCAAGCCCATCAAGTATTTTACGCTTTCGTCTGTCTCTCTTTTCTTAATCTGTCCTGTGAGTATCAGGTTTGCCAAGCCCTCCTTCCTTATGACGTACGCCAGAAACCTCAACTGCCTCTTTCTGATCTTAAGTATAAGTTTCTTTTTTGTTTCCTCTTTTTTTATCTCCAAAACCTCGTTGTTGCTCACATGTTCCCAAGGTGTCATTAAGATCTTTATATAGAATTCATATTTCTGTAGATTCAAGTCTCTTCTTCATCTCTGAGGAGATAATCCATCTAATATCTTTATCCAATAAATCAAGCTTACCGAGCAGTTCAACTAGTTCTTCGTGTCGTATGTTAAAAAAAAAAACTGGTTTGCATTTACTACAAGAACGCACTCAAGAAATTTGTGTATCGATAACATACTTTAAAGAGAATTTCCAGATTGAAATGTATTAGATTTACCACGCCCATTTTAGATGTGCCACGCCCATCTTTCCTCATAAAAGCCCCGCCTACAAAATATTTTAAAATATTGATATTGTGAAATTGTTCCCGATCACAGCGACGCGTTTGTCAGTGTTACCTGTCAATGTGGACATCTTGAAAATGATCTTCAGCTTAGAATTCTATACGAAAGAAAGGATGAAAGGGAAAAAAAAATTGGAAAAGGAAAAGGTATGAAGAATTTATGAAAAAAAAAAAAAATTAATAATTAAAAAAAAAGATCGTGTCAGAATTTGAAAAAAAAAAAAAAGAAAAAAAAAAATTGTTTTATATTATCGGATGTACGTTTTGAAACGATGTCATAAAACGAAAAATTTATTTAGTTTTTATTAAATAACAAGAAAGACAAAACAAAGTAAAAGCGGAAACAAAATAATAATAATAATAATAATAATAATAATAAAAGATTTCTTACACGCTGACTAAATTTAACAATGAAAAATAATATTTCGAAGATCAAATAATTTTTTGGTTTAAATAACAACTGAGATTTGATTTCAACGTCTTCGCGAGTAAGTTGACGTGATGATTGTAACTGCTTTTTCCTCTCGACATTTTCCCGCTGGGAGGGGGCGGTGGCATGGGAAACAAAAGAGCTTAATTCTCTGAATATTTCCAGCATTTCAGACAATTTCTTTCACCTTTGTCGATTTTAAAATAAATTTTTAGTCGACATTTTAACTACCCCCCCACCGCAGATAGTCTTGTTGTTTTATGTTTTACAAGTCATGCGCAATTGTGTTTTTTTTTTACTTCTTTCTTTTTGAAAAATCTATTTAACCTTTAACACTCTTTAGGCAACTTCATTCATCAAGAGAAGCATTTGTCCTGCCACTACAGTTGACGCCAATCACCATATAACAGTATATTTAACTTTCACGGTTGTGTTGTCACATCCTGCTACAGCAACAACAACAAAAAAAATCCTTGAACTCAAAATCGAGATCAAAGCTAAATGCAGTTTGCATTTGTGGAGCCCCCATATCTAGTGGAAGAAGAAATAATACACATAAATAAAGTAGACTGCTAAAAGTTTAAACAGGTTCCTGTCCGCATCTTAACATGAAAGAATTATTACTGTTTGTCTATATTTCTGAGATGAGGTATTGTAGCTGTTTACACTATTTACATTGTTCGAACTGTTCTCATCTTCGTTGCCATATTCATGACGTTTCAGCCGTTGTACGCTCCGGCCTTCCTCAGTATCTGTCTATATGTTTGAGATAGGGTTTTTAATTATATACACTATTTACATTATTGGGCTGTTTTCCTCATCTTCGTTGCTATTTTCACAACGCTTCGGCTGTTGTATGCTCCGGCCTTCCTCAGGATCTGTATTTCTGAGATGAGGTATTGTAGTTATTTACACTATTTACATTGTCCGGACTGCTGTCCACTTATTCGTTGCCGTATTCACGACGTTTAGGTCGTTGTACGCTCCGGCCTTCCTCCGTATCTGTCTATATTTCTGAGATGAGGTATTGTAATTATTTATATTATTTCCATTGTTCGGACTGTTGTCCTCTTTTTCGTTGCCATATTCACGACGTTTAGGTCGTTGTACCCTCCGGCCTTCCTCAGGATTTGTCTATATTTCTGAGATGAGGTATTATAATTATATACACTATTTACATTGTTCGGACTGTTCTTCGTTGCCATGTTCACGACGTTTCGGCCATTGTACGCTTCGGTCTTCTTCAATTGTTTAAAATTTCGAACTGAACCTTTATTTCGCGCGCCGAAGTATATTGTTCTAGTTCCACGTGCCATGCTTCTTCCAGATATCTCAGTATTTCAGTATCAGTATTCCGTCTGTTTTACAGATATTTCCATGGCAACAGCTTTGTCGAGCTTTTTTTCCTGGTGCCCCGACTACATGAATTTATGCGTGTTACTAGATTGGCATTTAGGTCCCACCCGTTTAATGCTGAAATGTCTAAATGCAATCGCCACTTCTACTCCAACGGTTTCTTTTCTCGCACTTCCCGCCTGCGGAACTCCCTTCCGTTTACTTGCTTGCCTGATAACTAGAATCTTCAAAAATGTAAATTCAGTTTCAATTGCCATCTTCTATCTTCTTAAATCCCGTTAATCTTTTGTCGTTTCCTCAATATTTTTCTCTCTTTTACACTCCCCGTAAACCCCGCACCCTGCGTATTAGTGGCATTCCTGCCTTGCCTGGGGTGAAATGATTAAAAAAAAACAAAAAACAAAAACACACACACACGCAGAATACGTAATTACTTTCCGAACACCATAATATTTAAATTTAACTTAATTTTTTTTTTATTACCGATATTCCCCATGGATAATACGCGTTTTTTTCTAAAAAAAATGATAAGCAAAATCAGGGGTGCGTATTATGCACAGATACAAAAAATCTTTGAAAAATTGCCGTAAAATAAAATAAGAATTATCATAAAACTAAATTAGTATAATATTATTCTATGTTTAAAACCATTTTTTTAAATAAGAGTAGGAAACGCTGGACGTAATGAAATTAGAGAGTTACAATTTATAGGGTTTGATTACCAAACAAGTGGTGCGTATTATGCGTGAGTAGAAGCATTTTCCCACACTTCCAGCACAATTTTAGAGGCGTGTATTATGGATGAAGGCGTATTATGCATGGGGAATTGCAGTAAGAGCCATCTTCATATCTTATGTTAAGATTGTGCCCACGAGTAATAAATCCTGGTAGGACTTCTAGTTCTGTCAGGAACACCTTACTGCATAGCTTTCTTGCATAAAAAGTGAGAAGATACATCTTGATCTTATGTCCTTTCTCTATTCTTGTGTTCTCAATTCATTTTCAACCCATATGCAGGCGGTTATCACCCATCAAATGTACTGGATTATGCTAACATCCTTTCCGAATAAATCTTAACAGCTAGATGTAATAGCACCTCAGCTTCAGTCATATTCCGGCTACCATAGCTCCCCTGTTTCGTTTCTTTAAATATTTTCATGATAATTGTTCTGATGAGCTTTCCTCTTTGGTCCCTCAACATTAAACACACTACGAGGTTGGCAGTTAAGTCTTATCATTTTACAATGGAATTGGATAGATGTAACCGTAAGTTCTATGCTAGCAGTTTCTTCTTTCGTATTTCTCGCTTGTAGAATTCTTATACAACTTCTTGCTTCCCAGTCAACTTTGATCTTCAAATATTTAAATGTAATGTCAGTCGTTCTGTCTTAATGAATAAGTGAAATTAAAATTATAAACAGTGTTTTAATCATTTCAGTCCAAGCAAGACAATAAAGCCACTAAGTTGCAATGAGTGGGATGAGTGGGAGATAATATAACAAAAAAACATTATGAAGGACAGATAACAATAAAAGAAAAGGAATTAAGAAGACTGTTGTGGTGTCCTCCCTCTAAAGAGTCTATGTTGGACTCTTCCGCCTACTATAAGATTAGTAGGAGAGAAGGCCTCAAGATGTTGTCACCAAGTAAATGGTTAAAGAAATAACAAAACAAGTGTTGCTGATATATCATATATTAAACAGTAAGTACAACAGAAGAGTATTACACGACTAGTGAGTGTGTGTCGGTTATTCGACAGTTAATATTTAACAGCCCTCCCCCCTCACGAGGGATGTATGTGGCACAAGACCGAGTTTACCGTGGGTTCTCCGAGCCCGTAGGCTCGGCCAAAAATATTCCCTTAGAACCCGCATAAACGGGTTCAGGGCCTGTCTACCTCGCCGGACGAAACTTTGCACTTCGGCAAAGCCTCGTCTGGGTTCCTCCATGCTAAAGGCAGAGAGTTCGACAGTAACGAACAATCTATGCAACTGTTATATTTAACAGTCCCCCTACGGGGAATGTATGTGGCACAAGGCCGAGTTTAACGTGGGTTTCTCCCAGCTCGTAGGCTCGGCCAAAATATTTCCTTAGAAACCGTATAAACGGGTTCAGGGCCTGTCTACGTCTCCGGACGAAACTTTGCCCTGCAGCAGAGTGTTTGATAGTTGAACAATCTATGCGTCTGTTCCCCCAAGGCCTTCTCTCCCACTAATCTTATAGTAAGTGGAAGAGTCCAATATAGACTCTTTAGAGGGAGGACACCACAACAGTCTTTTTAATTCTTTTTCTTTTATTGTTATCCTTCATAATGTTTTTTGTTATATTATCTCACAATCATTGCAACTTAGTGGCTTTATTGCCTTGCTTGGACTGAAATGATTAAAACATTGTTTATAATTTTAATTTCATTTATTCATTATACCTCCTCATTTCTTGGGGAACATAAAGCCGCAGCAACATCTCTCCGACGGTTGCAGTTCCGGGCGATCCCCTTTTGCGTGGCCCATGTCGTGCCGGCTGCCTTTCCGGGGTATTTTCACCAGCACGCGTCATACGCTCCATTTTGGAGGACTCTTCCTCGGCCATGTGGTTGTTTGTAGATATCGTTGTGGTTTCTGTAACAAGCTAGTTTTTAAGTGAGTAGATTGTTAGCCTTCTGCATAACCCCCAAATTGCAGGACCAGGGTGTGTCTTTCGTCTGGCTCCTATCCCACAGACCTGTTGAGCTTTGTTGAACCTGCTAAGGACCGAAGCCGCTGTCCACACATAGCTTTGGGAGTCGTTGAAGCACGCAAGCCGCCTTACTAATTTCAGTTTACTTCTTACAATTGACGGTTAGTCCTTTTTTCACCCTTTCCTGTCTTAACTTCTGTAAGAATTTCTGCAGAATTTTTCCGTTGTGTCTTATGTTGTTAAGATTGTACCCGCCAAAAAGAAATCATGGTAGGAGTTCTACTTCTCTTAGTATGGCCTCTCTGTATAGGTTAAATACATCCGGTGGGAAGGCGCGTTTCTATTTTTGCATAATGCTAATATACGTTGGATATAGGGAAAAGCAAAAAGTGTTAGATAGAGTTCACTCCTTCGAACGCTGAGACGGTTCGGCCTTCTGCTAGCTGGCAAAATAGTTCCTCTTTTATCGTGCTTATTTACACTTGTTCCAAAACAAAATATTTTGGTCGAGGCTGATCTAAGGTAGATAAGAAGGTCGTCCCCCAAGTGCTCTGTGCTGTCATGCCCAGTTACGA